TGGTGAATATCTCGTGGAAGCGGTGCAAAGGAAGAAGAGCGAACCTCAGCCGGGGCCGAGTCTTATCTGAGCGTCGGAGGGGAAACGGAGATACTGTATCTGACTGTGCACGCTTCAGCCCATTTGGAAAACTGCGCTGATAAACCGGCTACATTGTGGAATGAAGCTTCTCTTTGAGGTGATAATGGTGCGCACAGTCAGTTCAGATGTGGTGTTTTCTTTTTTTAGTACACAGAAATGAAGCTGTTGCTGGTACTAACACAAGATTAAACAGCATCAAAGTCCAATACATTGAGACCTATATAAAAATATATATAAACACAATGATGATATACCCTGGAGGGATTTTTTCCCCAAAGAAATGAACAAACGAGAGGTAGCTAATTTCAGAAATGTTACAAAAATAAACCCTATCGACTCAACGCTAAGATTTAAACTGGCTGAGCTATCGAACAACATGGATTCACAACATTAAGAGATTATTCAAACCTAAATGAGCTATCCATAAAAGAAGCTAAACCTCCTGCTCACACCTGCCTTTCATAATTTCTTCATAAAGACATTCCTTCTATCTGCTGTTATATAACAAAGCAGAGGATACCTCAAACAGAAACACACACACAAGATCAATGTGGATAAATGTGTGAGCGCTAATGTTTTGCGCCGATTCAGCTGCCCGTGGGGGGGCGTTGCTATTTTAGCTCAAAGCTAAATGTGATTTTGATGAAACGCTCACAGGGGGAAAAGGTTTTTATCAGGTTTGATTTTTGTTTTTTTTTTTACACGAACAAATAAATAATTACTATCAATAAATGATTTTTTAATACCTCACAGTCTATTGTTGACTACAAAAAGATAAAGAACAAATTGACCCACTCATTCATTCATTCATTCACTCCCTGGTGTGTTTCTTCAGTTTTCTCAGAACTTGAATCCACTCAGTTTGCAGTCAACTCAACAGTTGCGAATGCTGAAGAAGCCCACGCTGGTCGGCGACTCCTTGACCGTGACGGTAACCAGATTAGCTGTAACATCCGTTACGAACACGTGTTCGATCAGGCTTCGCGTAGGCTTCCAGTCCTGGCTCTGGACCGCGACCTGTCCGGCGTAGGAAGAATCCTGGTCCGAGTCGGAGCTGCTCTCCTCCTCTCCCGTGCTCATCTCGTTCATTTTGGCTTTTTTGCCGTCTTTGGAGGCCGACCTGTCCTGCTGGCTCTGGGCCTCTGTGGGGGATTTATGCACGCCACTCCTCTCCAGCCTTCCTTGGACTCTGGAGGCCTGGATGTCATTGACCTCTCTGACCTTGTCTGTGCCGGGCTGTGTTTTTCTGGCCTGCAGTCTTCCGGGGGTCGCGGGACTCTTTGGGGGTTTACACTCTTGATTTTGTGTCACAGGTTTCCGTGCTGGGTTTGCAGCATTTCTGGGGCCTGACACTGGTGCCGTGCCGTTTCCAGGAGCATCACTGCTTTGCACCAGTTTGTTCTGCAGGTTGAGGGGCTGAAGGCCCTGATTGGAGGAGACGTTAGATGGCAAGGACGCCGCTGTTTTAGCACCGGGTATCCGCTGCGCTGTCGTCACAGGGGCCGGTTTCTTTTGTCCATTAGGGGAGCTTAGTGTATGCTGAGTGGTTCCTTGAATGGGGTGTTTGGATGTATTCAGATTCAGCGCTGCTACGCCTTTTGATTTACTAGGAGCTGCTTTTAAATCCAGGCTTGTCCCGCTGCTCATACCGGAGACGGGAAGTTTACTCTCTGTGACATTTCTGCTTTGGCTGGACTTGTTCAGCGGGAGGGAGGAAGGCTGGACCGACGGCCTGCCAGATCCCACGGAGCTCAAGGAGTTTTTAACAGCACCGACCTGGGCGAGGGAGCTTCTGTTCGGACCACCCACCGCATCCCTGGCCGAGCCCCGGTGGAAACCCATGAAGGTAAAGCTGGCCGGGTGAACCGGCTTCTTGATTGCTCCTGGAATATCCGTATCTTTGGCAGTCTTGCGCGGGCCCTTGTTCTGCTGGAACTCCTTCACTTCGGAGGGCAGAGGTTTCCTACTCCGTTTCTTGGGAGGCTCCTGTTTCGCCATGACTATCTGCGCCTTCTTCTGAGGGACAGGATTCAGCTCTCTCGTTCTCACGCTTGGGCTGACTTGTTTAACTTGGCCGCCGTCGTCATCGTCGTCATCGTCCGAGGACGACGAGGAAGAGGAGCACGAAGACGAGGAATCGGACGAGGATGATGACGAGCCAGACGAGGAGCTGCTCGACTTTGGAGCTTCAGGCATGTTTTCCTACGTTTTTAATAAGAAGGGAATGTTAGATACTCTGTTCGGGACTAAATCCTGCAAAAAAATCATCTTTTGAATCAAACTTACAAGGATTTTCCGAGGCCGTCCTCTGGGCCTCTTCCCTCTTTTACGCAGCAGAAGCTCCTTTTCCTGCTCTCTGTAATACGTCAGCAAACATGAAACAAGGAGTCACAGTTATTAAACATATTTCATGTTAATGTTGTGTGTTTTAAATGCCAACAGAGTTACGACTACAACAACTACAGCATCGCGTAGCACAGCAAACTTTAAAGTGCGGTACATCTTAACATAGACACTTACTTCTTGTTGAATGCAGCCAGCAGTCTCGGGTCGAGGATATTTTCTTGGGGCTCCCAGCTGTTGTGTCTGAAGTGAGCAGACATGGCAAAACATTAACACACATTTTAGTGTTAATCCAAATCAAAAACTAAAGGTACTCCACAGTTTGAGGAGTGCTTCCAGATTTAGAAAATGACTTTTCAACAGAGTCCATTCATTGAGCAACACAGGGCTCTGTTGTTCTAGCAGCCATAAACTGAGCACAGGCAGTCCCTCACTTTATTTAAAGACGTCTCAGGTGAGCTCGAAAAAGGACGAGAACAGAAATCTAATACTCGGGAGATTAAAACAACACCACAGCTAGTGACAGCTTGGCTTTATAGAGATAAACAGACCCGTGTAACCACAAAGTCATAAAACACCAATTAGTAAACAATATCTTAATATGTAGAGTGAAGACCCGTCTGTCCCTGCACTCGTGGTTTGAGAATGATTTAAACAGCTACAAAAACTGTTTATTAAACAGTAATAAGGACTGAGTGGATGACAGATATGTAATCCATAAGGGTAAAAGTTAAAAATCTGATCGATTCTATACATCACACCATACGTGAGGCATCAATCAAACTGCTGACTTTAGGTACTACACCGAATCAGTTTTTTTCACTTCCTTTGTTTCCTCAACAAGCACAGTTGTGTTTGTTGAGGAAGGAAGTAAGCGCATTATTTTGGGTCACGGAGGTTACCAACATGAGTGGGAAGTTGTAAAAATACAGAATGAAGATTTTCTTTTTCTTTTTTTCCATCAACACAAATAACTTTGTTTTGCAGAGCTTTGTTGGTGGTGCCTGCACACGATGTCAAGGGCTGGCTGTTGCACTGCCGAGTTATTGAATTTGCTTCTTGTTTGTTTTTCAATCTTATATCTGAAACTTAAGTTTGAGCGTCCGTTAGCTTGATTCCTGAGTGTGGCTGCATCAGTGGCCCCATTCAGTGACTAATAATTTGATAGTGAGCATAAATTGAGGAGAAAATAACTAAATGGGCTAAGTGCAGAAACAAACTGAAAACAGGCCTTTTCAATGACCACTCGCTTTATCAGGAGCTGGTGAATGGCCCATTCTGATCTGCAGTCACCAGTGAAATAATCAACCCCCACCCTTTCGTTGCACACACACACACACACAAAGGATGTGGTTCTAACAGAAAGCCATGGAGCTGGCAGGCAACAGTGTGCATTGATGGTGGATTACAGCAACAATGTGAAGTGAACAGAGGGCAAGTGACAAGAAATGAAGGCGTAGTGGAGATTTACAGGCACAAACATGCACGTATAACACACACTTCGAGTGGAACAGCACAGAGAAATACTTATATATACATTTAAATCAAATATCAAGTAACCATCGTGAATTTCGGATGTCCCAGTCCGAGTCAAAGAAAAAAAAGATAAAACTTAAAAACGATGAATAAAATCAGCCAAACGTCATAACTAAAATGAATAAGTTGATGTATGAAAAGCTGAATTAGCCCTAAAGTGTTTTCTTTGGCTATCCGATAACTTCCAAAACGTAAATATCGAACAAAAGGAAGCAAATGTGTATTGTGTAAAACCCTCAGGTGGAAATAACGGAGTTTCATTTTACTGCTGTTAAAATTTGGATTCTTGTGCTTTTATTTTTTTTTTAAAAAAATAAAAAATAAAAGTTTGGGTTTAGCTAAAAGCAACAAGCGACACGCTGTTGTTGTTTTCATTGTTTCGGCCGGAGCAGCACCACTTGTACTTACTTGGATGACCATCCCCTCCACTTGACGAGAAACTCCAACTTTCCCTGAAAGAAAACCCCCAAAAGAGAAACAGACCGTTTGTAAAATAGGAGAAAAATACGTGGATAAAATCTAACACCGCGGTTTCACAGCGCTGACCTTTCTCATTCGTTTGTTTAAGATGCATTCCGCATCAAAAACCTGCTCTCCCACGGCGCTCAGTTCCTCCATGTCTGCCTTCGCCCTTGCATAAGAATCCTTTATCAAAAGAACAGCGCGGCGCCCGCACGGCGGAATTACGCTGGGACCAAACCGGATGCTCAAGGGCCCGCCTTCAAAATAAAAGAACGCCCGAGCTCCAAAATTCAGCCAGAGGGCTAATTTCAATTTGTTATCCCGCAAGAAAAATTAAAGCTGCATGTGTCATTTTTTTTAAAAGCATCTAGCCTTATATAACGACACAAACTGCGCTTAACATGGATACAAAAATTTCAAGAAAAAAAAAAAACAATTAAAAACGTATACAGTCACAATATATAATATTTGATGCCAGGTCTCTCTTGGAAATGAGATTTTTTAATCTCAATGAGATTTTTTTTTACCTGGATAAATAAAGGACTAATAAAAAATAAAATTCACACAAAAATTGATTTCATAATAGAATAGTTTATTCCGTTAATTTTATACACAAGATTAATTTTAACATGCTTTACGCAAGAAACAAACTCAAGCAACCAGTTAAATAACCAGTTCACGTAGTACAAGTTTAAAGGGCAGCATGTTGATTAAAGTATTGTATTTAAATAAGTTCCATACAAGTCTTAAATGTTATGCTAAAAAGAAAAAAATGAGGGCTCAGCTAATGAGAACTAAACGGTTCTGGCGTACAAGTCAAAATATATATTTGAACTTTTGATATATAGACAATATAAAAAACCCGGAGGGTTTACATTTATGTTGAAAGTTACAACCGGAAGTGTTGAGCACCCGTGTTTAACTTGACATTTTTATCCGAGGAGAGGCGGCAACTGATGAGTATGTAGTTCCTCAAAATATGTCACTTGGCAGCCACCGTAGACGTGTATTCACTTCTTTAAATGAAAGTAGAGACGCGATCGCTACTTTGTTCTCAGCACCTTTTATCTTAATTTAATTGCTCACAGCCTCACCCCAACACCTCGTTTTGCTTTATGGCTTTTATGTTTATTTAGTACATAAAAGTAATATAACGTTACGGTAATGGTCTCAGATGTTTATATTCCAGTGTCCCAACACAGCCCTGCTTATGGATGTTTATTCCCATTTAATTACAGCAGATTTGAAAAAGACCTAAATGTTCTTCATTCATGCATAAACCAGGGCATCTCCAGTTAAACTTGTTCTGATCCTTCTCTTGTCACTTTGTATTATTTGAAAATAGCTAAAATAATAATTTACACTCTGCTCTTTGGGTTCTAATGCAATTTGCCATGAAAGAGAATCATGCAGAGGGTCCGTCCACAGGGAGCTGCTTTTAAATCTCTCTTCATTATTGTGATGTTCAAAATGGAGTTTGATGTGCGTCTTCTTTTTCCGGAAGATCTCTCAAACTTCCTGATCTGAAAGACAAAGTAAAGAAATTTTACTTGGCTTGGACAGTCTCGGTCGTTCTGTCGTTGGGCAAGACACTTCACCCGTTGCTTACTGGTGGTGGTCAGAGGGCCCGGTGGGGCCAGTGTCCGGCAGCCTCGCCTCTGTCAGTGCGCCCCAGGGCGGCTGTGGCTACAATATAGCTGCCATCACCAGTGTGTGAATGTGTGGATGACTGGATGTAAAGCGCTTTGGGGTCCTTAGGGACTAGTAAAGCGCTAAACAAATACAGGCCATTTACCATATAGATTTTTATTTCTCTTGGATGTATAACAGTTTTGAATGAATGAGTCATTACCTCTTTGTCTTGCGTTTCTGCTTGAGTAGTCGTTGGACCACTGCTGCTGCAAACACTATGACAAGAAATCCAGCTACCGCAGCCAGTCCAGTGAAGGCGTTTTTCATGTACTTCCTGTGTGAACTACTTTCAGCTGAAAGAAGAAAGAAAAACAAAAAATTCACACATTGAAGATTAAATTTTTTATGAAGCCTTTTGCTTTAATATTTCTGTACTGACATAAAAAAATGTTAGTGTTATTTAATTGTATCGATTTTTATTTGCTTTCAGAGCTCAAAGACGACCCGGTCATGGAGCTTGGAAAAGAAAGCGCCTGGACTTCTTTAAGTTTCTTCTTCGGTCATAAGACCATATGCTGAAGAGACCCAGGTATTTAAGCCCTAGTGGGAGCTGTCTCTTATGGAGGGTCGTTGACCCACTATTGATTATGTGCCTCATCACATGGTGTGAAAAACGGTGTGGGCCAATATCCTTAGATTTGTTCTATAACAGTTTGAGCAACAGAAGTACTTGGGTAGAATTAAGAAAGGATCATTGTTTGGGGTAAATTGACAGTATACTGTTATGTTAACCACATATTATAACTTTCATATTTGTGTTTATATCTGCATGTCTTGCTAGCGTGATTTGTCTGACTGTGTCTTGTTTTCTTGCTAGTTCAGTGATGACTTTGTGCTTTACAAATGTGAGAGTTAAATATGGCTCTGTTATATATTTCATAAAAGCCAGCAGGCAAAGGTGTCTAAGAAGAGATCGGTGCATATTAATGGCTGTCCAGCATAACAGTTATCTGTGTGGTGACCAGTCTAGGGGTGTGGCTAAAGGGGGAGGGGCCTGCAGTGGTAAGGACTGAAGAAAGTGTTTGTCAGGGAACAACAGTATCGTCCTGCTCAATCCGTTATTGTAAATATAAAGTCACTGATATAATGAACACACAGTGAACACTTTCCGTATCAGGTTTTAAAAAACTGACTTCACCTGTAAATTCAGTGGTTTGGTCCACTGCTTACCTTTGCTGATCACCTTTAGGGGGTGTGTAGATAAAATAATACAAGTTGTTGAAATGTAGGCCAAGTTTTAGCTGGTCTGAGCTTTATTTTTATAAAAATTCCTGAGTTTTCATAGACAGTCTGACAAGTTTCGGGTTGGCCAAGTGGTGGGAAAAATCCTATTATGTCAAACAAGTAATATTGTTATTTATTTTTAATATTAACCTAATTTTTACTAGAAAGGACAATAATAAAAATTGAATAAAAGAAATGGCACAGAGTGCATCCTGACCTGATGACTTCATTATTACATCACACGTCAAAGTAAGCGAGCCAATCAGCTTTTAGTGTTTGCGACCACTGAAAAAAATATGTGATCATATCGATAACATTTAGTATCTTACCTTAGTTTGATGATACCAGATACTAGACACACCAACATGTGAGTAATTGAAGAATTATTATTATTATTATTTAGATCAGAGGTGGGTTGTACTAACTAAATAATATCTGGTTTTGATATAAGCATTTCTTCGCCTTGTTACATCAGCGAGATGATACATGTTTGAGATTCACTTTGACTTAACACATCAATGAGTCATCAGTGAGTTGTTCTGGCTGACATATTCATTTATTACTATGTAGTGTATGCTGACTCACTCCCACATTTGCCATTTTTCCAGTCAGATGCTCAATAAAACACCAAATGTGTATTAAATCAACAAATTAACCAGTTAATTCTTTCCTTCTGTTTTGAGAGCCAAATCAAAGGATCCATTTGTAACCTGTATTAATGTTTTAGTATTCATCAGTAACTATTGGGTCTTGGGCTGAAGATATCAAATGACTGAAAAGCACAAAAGCAGTAGTAAGGTGCCCATTTCTGCTGTTTTTATGAAGATTAGATGATTTTTGTGAACTTTTCTACTTTTCTTTACTTTCATATATGAGCTCTTTAGACTTCATTGGAGGAAAAAATGTTTCCAACCTCGCCTCGAGAACACCAGATGTAATTTGTAGTTGTAACCTATAGCAACCCTACATCTGATTTGGACACAACTAAAGTCAGAAATGATGGATGATCGGCCCAGTAATGAAGGAGCAGGTGTTGGAGCGACACACTTTCAGTGCCACGGGGAGAGACTCATTAGTCTGATATAAACTCACCTCGAGCAGCAGTGCTAGTAACCAGCATGTGTTTGGTGGCGTCGAGATGGCCGTCATTGACCTCCGGCTCGATGCCCAGGATGTGACACATCAAGGGGTAGATGTTCACTGTCTCAAAGGGCCCCACCTTTAGGTTTTTGTGAAATGCTGGACCCACTGCCCTGAAGAAAGGCTTCATGTCCATCGCTTGGTTGTCATAGCCATGCTCTCCCTTGTTGAATTGAACTGGGAAATACTGCAAGGACAGGATGGATAACATAACTCTCTTGACCCAGTTTGATAGATTCAATTAGAATCTAACTTTCAAAAGGTAGTCAAATAAAATAAAACCTCAACAGACGTCCACATCTTGGTCTACTCTCAGTCAGTCAGCAGAGGGAGGTATTGACCAAGCCAAAGCGGATTGTCTACATTGTGCAATGAAAGCCCTTTCACCCTTTGTGACTGCTGCCAGCCAGTGATAAAGCCTAAATGAGACCGTTAATCCAACTCGAAAATGTTCATTTTCATGAAATACTTTAAAGATTTAAAATGGTTTCATAATTAAATGTTATATATAGTAGTTTTCCAACACATTTCCAGAATTCAGAATACACAGTTGTCTCTATGTTATGTAACCATCTCCACATTTTTTTCCTTCTCTTGGATCAAACTAAAATGAGTATATAAAAAAATGGAGGGAACGAAGAGCCAAATTTCCTGTCCCAACATACAGACCTGGGATTTAACACATTTTGTCACTGGATTAAAAGAAAAAAATCTATTTTCCTCTTTTTCAGGGTTTTTAGGAAATTCCAGAATTTTAAAATTTTCTCTTTTAAATTAATTTGTGATTTAATGGTTCTCAGTACTGATGGACACATTTGCTTGCAAAGTTGCTGCACAGCAGAGTGACTGAGTGAGTGTAGAGCCAAATGAAAATGCTAATTTTGAATTTTGAGGCATGAATAGCTTCATGAAGCATTTGAGAGCGTACTGCATGTCATCAGCAAGGCCTGGATTATCCTGAGGACGTGCAAATGCACTTGATTAAAATTGTAATGTACTAAGATTAGAATTTAACTCCTTGCGTCTGGCTGAAAAGAGCCCAGTTTAAGTATTTTCAATGAGCAGAATTTAAGTAATTTAATTATTTCTGTAGTCAAGAAATGAGGAAATTTGTAGAAAAAAGCCCAGATGGCATGTACAGATAATTAATCTGGCTCTTTATCGCTATAGAAGTGCTTGTCATTTAGAATCCTTATGACCACCTACGTAGGTCATAATCACATAAATTGCCTGGTTGTTAATAAGTTACAACAAGAAGTGCGAATGTTTGCCGAAGCTGCACTTTGCAGTTTATTATGTTGCATGAGAACAAATGTCAGCTCTCTATGTTGAGGGTGAATGAAAGGGAGAGGAACTGATAAGACTTTATCGATTCAGATTCCGTTATCGATATCATTTATCGATTTTAATTGCGTCTCATTAGCTTTGCTTTGATAGCGTAGCAGTTATAGCAAAGACATTTTGTGCAAATTAATTTTGTGCTGTTGGAGAAACTTCCCCCTTTTTGTTGTGACCGCTGTGGGGGTCATTACTCAAAAGTACTTATTACATATATACATTTTTCTTAAAAGTAAGGACATTACTTAAGTCCTCCAAGGAGACAGTAATTCATTATCCTACTCGTTAGATTACTTTCACGTTACTCTGTAAAATAGCTGAAACACACGTTCATAATCACATTTCATAATTTAAACCTACAGGCTGCTGTAAAACTATAAAACTAGCTAGAATTGTGGTTGTTTTTTTGTGGTTGTAAACTTTCTCGAGTCACTGGAATCCTATGAAATGACCATATTGTTGCAGCTTTGTAAAGGCCGTTGCTTCTCATGCACCGGCTTAGATAAATAAGTAGGAGTTTATTCGTTCTAGTTTGGTTGTGTTTGCTTTTATTAATATGCATGCTTACTGTTGTAAAGCAGCATGCTGTAACGCCAACCTTGATGATTTCTTGACTCTGAGCAAGTGGTTTTAACGTCTTGACATCCCCGAGGTCACCAGCGACCTATCTAGGGTTAGGGTTCAGTTTTGTTTTAGCCCCATGTTAAACAAATTATTTCTCATATATTTAGGCATTGCATTTTTTTCTGTTTGGTGACCCAAACACGCAGTAATTCTGTACAAAGGGTTAATGTTAACCAAACTGCTCATTTTAACCTCAGCTCTGATCCTCATACCTTTGACTCGGGGGATGTTCACAGTCTCTGAAGCTAACCATCAAAGTGCAAAAGACTAAGGTCTAAACACAATCAAAACTATCATCTCCTGGCTGATAAACCTATAACTTTACCCTCCACTTCTCCAACTTGTGGACTTTCGAGCTTGTTATCTCTCTGAGGGAAATATTGCTGCGTACAGTTGTACCACACAGCAGCTGCTGACAAAAATGGCACTATGTGATGCCCTGGCATGAGTAAATGTTAGATTTGGCACGTATGATTGCTGCTGAAGATCTTGTCTGACAGCTTGTCAGGTGAGAGTGTGAAAAACACAATTGAGCATCCGTCAACGTACCCCGTTGATTACGTATCCAGGGTCGGCCCATAAAATGATGGGGAGGATGCGATCGTTTTTAGTAAAGCGAAGGTGCTCTGGCACGTCCTCCTTCTTGTACACGTGGAGATGTGGATGAGCCCCTTTCAAGGCATTGTACACCGCCTCCAGCCTGCCTGGCTTGGGCAACAGCATCCCGGAAGGTCCGTAGTCCACCAAGTGGAAGGACAGGTCCCCGAATGAAAAGCCTGGGATCTTTGACAGGGTGATTTCCTCCACCAGACCATTACGATACACGGTGGACATGCCGTGGTCTGACGTGATGATGATGTTAAGGCGGTGAGTCAGCCCGTGTCGCTCAGCTGATTGCCGAATATAGCCCACTGTTCGGTCCACTTGTTTCACCATCTCTCTACGTTCATTCGAGTCCGGACCGTATCTGTGGCCTGTACCGTCAGGCTCGCCAAAGTAGAAGGAAACAAAGTCCACGTTCTTGTCTCTGAACCAGCTCATCACTTTATCTGTGTTTTCTCGCCAAGCGGTCTCGTTCTTGTAGTTGTAAAGCTGCGGCTCCACTTCCCTCGGCTCAGCAAACTGTCCCTGGTAACTGGAAGCTGTGCCAGGAAAGTGAAGAGAGCCAGCTTCTAGGCCCTGGAAGGTTAGAAAAAAACAAGGCCGCATTAACATAAACATGACATATGCACTTGACACGCTGACAAGTATGTGAAAGCTACATCTGTTCATACTGTGGGTCAACACACTAGGAAAGCACATCAGTAATAGCCGGATTTTGATTAATTTTCTTAAACCTACAGCTTAACCTTTGAAGCAAACTTAGAGCAGCTGTCATTTGCATGCCGTTAACATCTACGCCTGCAGAATTATTTGCAGTCTAACTGCGGTGATCTTCCTGAAATCATTCAGCGAGCCTTCAGAGGTGTTTTGTCAAGAGAAATGGTTTCTATTTCTGTAAACAGCAAAACAGTCTCTCACAGTGATGAGATGGAAATTGTGCTGCGCAGACCTGTCTCTGTGCTGTGATCCAGATAGGCAGAGTGCCATTGTCCCACCACTGATTCACAAACTGACTCTGATAGTAAGACTTCTTCTCTCCGGTGGTTGTGTTGAAAAACATGTTGTGGATTACCCCGTGATTCTCGATGTAGCGGCCTGCAGAAGAGAATCGCTGTCAGTCGGCTTGCTCTCATTATTCATAGCGTGACACATTCACATTAAAAATTCTATCAACTTAACAGGCTGAGTGGCATGACGCTTTTGGACAAGGTCTTACGACCAACTTCGGAGATTAGAAGAATTTAATTTCAAGGAAGTTAAATTTCTTTTAGCAGGCGCTGATGATTCGAGAGTCAAAATAAAAAATAAAAAAAAGGAGCAGAGAATTCTTCCCTCAGTCATCCAAGCATAATCATCTTACTCAGCTATAAAAGCCGTTGGACCCTGGGACATTCAATTACAACTAATTCCTTTTTCCTGTGGCTTTTTCAATACTTGCAAAGCAAACTCAGAGCGGTTACTACTCTGTCATGATATGCAGATCCCCTGCCAAGTAGAAGCGCTGCTGTAGAAAATGAAACTCTTTACCTGTCAAGAGGGTGAAGTGTGTCGGACTGGTGATGGTGAGGTACGGAGGGGTGACATACTGGGCTTTGACGCCGTCCTCGGCCATTTGGTCGAGGTTCGGCGTGTCCACGTCGCGGTCGTAATCCCACCGGAAACCATCGAATGAGATCAGCAGCACCTTCTGTCTCTCGTTGTTTACCGGCGCTCCGAGGACCGATGAGGCCCAGAGGACGCAGAGACTCGCGGTCCACAGCATGGTGAACGTAGGCGCCGACTCTGTGGCTCAGCTAAAATCTGATTTACAAAAGGAAAGCCACCTCATGAGGTTTGTCAACCCAGTAACTTCTGGGCAAAGTTTCACCAACTTATCTTATCTCAGTGATTGAAGCGACCTAATCTTTTCTGCATGATGTTTATGGGCTGGCTTTATGGCAGCGAGTTGTGTTCTCAGAGAAGTTCCCCAGTTTTCCTCTTGAGGAACTGCAGTAAAGCAGATTAATCTCTCCAGGCCTCACGGCTGTTTGTTTTCCCCCTAACTCGCTTGTTGATGTTGTCTTTCTGTTTGTCTGCCTGCCCGTCTGTGTGTCGGAGTTTCTTGTGAATCACTGACAATGGGGGGATGACACTTTGATGGGTTTCACCTTGAGTTGGGATGGTGCATGATTGATCTGACACCAAGAAAATAAAGAGGAGAATGAGAGTATATATACTCGTCAGATAGCAGTAGACTCAAGGGAGGAAAAGATCCTAATAGACATATTCATTTTAATAACTCTAATGTTTAAATAGCTCCAGGATATTGTTATAAGGTCTTTAGAAATCCACATAGATTTCTTTCAGCAATGACCATGAGGGTGGACAAACTGTTAAAAAAATGAACAGAAGCCTCCTCGGCGCTTTAGTTCAGATCATACCCGGTGTCCCCGTCCAGACGTTGTATCTATAACTGTGATGTAACCTTATCGACGTCCATCAAATTGCTAGACAAGCTAACTCTTCAAATTTGTTCTTTATTGTGTGTGTCCTTGACAGAGGTTCAAGGGAATAGTCTAATCTTTATGGAGATAAGGGATAACATTCATCAGCTTTCATTTACCTTATTCATATGCATTAGCTTTCTCATATTAACTCTATCTGCTTGCCGTCCGCTGTCAGCAAGATTCGGATGAGTGTTTTGGACTGCTGAGACTGGGGAAAGTCTCAGATCTCTGCTATGAGAACTTTATCAAACACACACACCCTGAACTTGGTGGGCGAGCAAACTTCATCTGACCCTCTCAGTCCTGTATAGAATTACCGTGGGGATCTTCACATTTTCTTGAAGAGAAAAAGTGCGTTTTTTGCCTTTAGCACTCCCTGCTGCCCATACGCAACCATGCAGAACACCTTCCCCAGACACAAGGCCGAATCAAATGCACTCGTTGAGTCACAGCAAAAGCAGTAACAGTACACAGAATAAGACCATGGCATTTCTCAGGGTTGGAGCATGACTTTCTTTTAGCAATGTTCATATGTTCATGTGAATTTTGACTTTTGTTTAACTTTTATATCACTTTCCCATCCTTAGGAAATCTCAGATAATGAAAAGTACATATTACAAATTCCTGAATATGTCACCATAACCCCGACCCCCAAATTCTTAAAAGTCAGCTTGTCTTCGGGCATTAAAACGTGGTTCGTTTTTTTTAGGTTTAGGACAACTTAACTGAAGGGAAAAACTCCCACATGCTGTCTCACACCGCTGCTGTATTTTATTGGATGTGTCACTCTGAGCAATTTCACTCTGTACACAAAAAAACATCACAGAGCTGTAAATGCAGCGCATAAGGATATGTCACCCAATCAGATGGACGTGAATCAAATAAGAAACAAACAAATCATCCCCAAACTATTTTTTGGTGCAGAAAAATGCTTCAACAACATGTTATACATGTTATCACAGACTCAAAATCATTAGACACATTGGGTCGATGGATTAGATTAGATATTGCAGCTAATGTGCATTTTTTTCTGCAGCTCAGAAATAATGGTGCCATTGTATAAAATGTCCGGTTGTGTGGTCCCATGACAATAATTTAACTAGAATGCACATGCAGCTAATGCTTGCAGTTGTGTTATTTTTTCATTTCCATGCACAAATGAAGCCCATTCCCTCAGAGATGTTTAGATCTCTGCATTTTCTTGTAATTGTCAGGTTGAAAAGTCAACAACTCATTTCACAAACAAGATATCTGTTAAAACATTTGAAATTCTACAGTGCTACAAAATGTTGACTTTTAAATCAGAATTGCTAATGAAAGTGGAGTGAGCTCCACATATAAAATACATAAACTCAACCAGTGCTCTCTTTTATAAGTGAAAATAAATTCTTAACTGCATCTGTATTCTGCTCACTTTTGGGTTTGAATGGCAAGCTGTTTCTTTCCCTGCTGTGACTGGAAGTAGACCATCAAGTTCATGCCAGCGTGCCGAGATCGATGTGTTTTGAATGGTGAGCAAACAAACTTGTAATGCATGAATGGCTTATTATCAGGTTACGTGAAATTAAGTCCAAGCGTAAAGTTGAAACTGCAGGAAAAAGCCCAGTGGAGGTCCACTGTGTTGTTACGTTTCTCACTCAGCTACAAATACAGCACTTTAATACAACATAACATTAACGTTGTTAATTGGAGTGACGATGGAGAATATTAATCAGATTTGTCCTGTTTACTGTTTATTGGGGAACTGACATGGTTGATAATCTCCGTAGTTCAGAGCCTGAACTACAAGCCTATGCAAACATGCTTTTTCCATGTTTACATTTAAACACTTTACCAAGACTTTGTGCATTTGATGGTGGACATTTGCATATTTATATTAAAATGTATTGCTCATTTTACTTGAACCAGTAAAATAAGCAGCAGACAAACGCACTCATGTGTACATACGAGATGAAACGAGCAGCAACCGAAGCCGGGATGGGAACTGATAAGAATTTAGCTGTTCCGATTTATTGATATCACTTGTCGATTCCCGTTGGCTCTGCTTTAAGAGTCACCACCATCTCTAAGCAGCAATAAGGACATTATATTCCTGCAAATTATGTGCATGCGGTGTGGTCAGATGTCAGGGGACAATAGCTGCAGTTACAGAGGAGGGAAAACGACCCTTGGCCCTGACCATTGTGCTAAACCCTTCATGGCCTCGGTCGCTTATTGTGGTCCATATCAAATGTATACTACTGGATAACTGCTTGTGATTGACAAGTTGTTTACACAGTCATATCCAATCCTTGCTTATCAGTAAAATAGCTGCTTTTAGCTCTCGTGTACAGTGTAATGCTCCTCCTGCTGCCGAAGCAAATATACACAGACGGTCTTTGAAGGGAAGTGAAACTAAGTGTTAAAAACAATGAAAATGTTCCATTGCAGCTATTCTGCTTTTTCATGTGCGTTGTTGACCTTTGTTTTCTTTTTTTCTTCTTCGTCTTCAGTGTATTTGTGGTGAACTGAGCTATTTCTTCCTTTCCTGTTTCTTTGTCAACCAATAAGCATTTTATCTATGAAAAGCGACACAATCGCTGGCTCAGCACTCTTGGGTTTTTTTTTTTGAAGTACCGCATGCTAGCATGTCTGCTGTGGTTGCAATAATACCACTAATGCTTCCTTCTGCATGGCCAAAGAGCAAATAGATACCAGTCTGGGACCATAAATCCAACATTAAACATGTTGTTTTGACACTTCCATTTTTCTTTGTCATGCACCAACTACAAGGGGTAAGTGCAAATGTCCACCCAGTGTCCAAATTCCCCAGACCTCAATCAGACCAAACATCCTTTGAAAGCACCTGAACAAGAGTCCAAAGCTGGGGGGCCACTACGAGGACTTATAGGTAGGTAGTTTTAATATTGCGGTACACAGTATTAGGCATGTTGTGATGTGTGCTGAAGCATTGCGTATCAGGCCGGCAGCCTCCAGTAGTTTCTCATGGAAACAGCCTTATCAGAGAAACAGCCTAGATTTTTGGGACTGGATGTGAAGGGGGGGTGGCAGCTCCTGGTGCAGCAGAATAATAACCGTGGTGCTACAAGGAGAGGAATCTTTCACACCTGTCAGGCAGCCATGCTGAAACTGAATAAGGCAGAGCAAGGTGTGTGTTTATATGTGTATTTGTGCGTGTGTGTGCGTATGTTTTTTAAATGTAGCTGTGTAAGGTCAATATGTAATGACAGCAGAGGGCTCAGACACAGAGGTTCACAGCGAGGTGAAGACGCATTCAACGCTCCTTTTAAAATAATCACAATAATAATAATAAAAATTCAACCATTTTCATTCAAATTCAATATCCTTTTGGTTGCCATTAACTATCTAATGTCCATGTCAGCGCTTTGTCGAACTGAATTGACGTGTACACGCTGACCTTGAGTGCCCGTATGAATATTTGGACAAAGCGTATGCGAATGCTGCTCCTGTTTTGTGTGGTGACATTGATTTGATGAAAGTGAGATTAACATTTAGAGAGGGTGGCAGTCATTTCCACCTGAATAACACAGTACACATACCATACAGTATGAAAATTGAACAGCAGGAATCTGACAACAAGTATTACTATAATATATTGGTGCTTCCTTCAACAGGCCACTAGCATGTAATTATTATCTCTTAAGTCACCAGTAAGCCAAATCTATCAGCTGTGAATCTACGGCATATCGGCCTTGCTCTTCACTAATAATTCCCCTTTCGCTCTCATGGACAGCCTGCTAAGTAAACATGTTCTTTTTCTATTTGTTGCACGCAGAGGTTGTCACCAACAGCTCTTTAGTCGCACATCAGAATGTGCAGGAGTTAGAATGAGGGCGTCTAAACAAATATGTAAATGTAAATGCCAATATTTGAAAAGGAACACAAGCATTTTTTTAGTTAGATGAAATAACTCGATGATGAATATCTCGACTTGTTTTCATGCCTTGCAAGTATTTTGAAATTGCAGTTTTGTATATTTCCTTTTATTTGCTGATATACAAGTATGATCACACTTATTCACATTTTATTTAAATCCAGACAAATTTCACAATTTTAAGGAAATTACTTTTTAAGGCTCAATCTACCTCAGGGTACTTTTGTAATTCTTGCCCATAGAATATCATCAGACGTGTGTAACCTGAGGAAACCTTGATGCTCCATGGATGTTTACCAAGACTACATAAAGTACGCTCTGAAAATCAGAAATATGTAAATGTAGCATTATGAACAATCCCTACTTTGACCATCGTTGGAACCAACCAGCGGATCTACACCATCCCAACAGTGATCCCTCGAGATGCTTAACCAAAAGAT